GCATGACATTGATGAAGGGGCGGGGAAGGGGGAATTCCCCTGGGAACAGATTTGAGGTGACATCCAGGGAGGGGGTGCGGCGTAAAGAAAATATTTTAGAGGAAGAGGTGTGGCTGGAACAAAATTCCCCTGGGATTGAGTATTTTTATTAAAAAATATTATGGGGTGGGTGGGAGGGTCTTAGGGAAATTCCCCTGGGAGACTATTAGGTTTCTGTATTGGAAGGATTAAGTCTTGGGAAGTCTGAAGAAAAGTGTCAGTCCTAAAGAGAATTCCCTTGGGAGTGGGTGTAGCTCAGATCTAGGGAAAGAAAGGGTAGATTTAGAATTCGGAAAGTGCAGGCCGTAGATCCAAACCCCGCAGGAAGGAGGAGAAAGTGTCCTGGGGACCTGGGGTGTGGCTTTGGGGGTAGGAGAGGCTGGCCTCTGACCCACTCGCTTTTGTCTCACATTTGTAGGTCCTCCACTTTTGCCTTGGTGCCTGTCTTCGCCCAGCTGAGCAACTTCCAGAATCTCCTCCCAGCTGTTGGTGCAGCCTCCTTCATTGACATCCGTGCCCAGCGCCCGCACTGCAGCCATGTCACTCCTGGCGACCCTGGGGCTGGAGCTGGACAAGACCCTGCTCCCAGCTAGCGGGCTGGGCTGGCTCGTAGACTATGGGAAACTCCCCCTGGCCCCTGCCCCCCTGGGCCCCTATGAGGTCCTTGGGGGAGCCCTGGAGGGCGGGCTTCCAGGTGGGGGAGAGCCCCTGGCAGGTAAGGGCAGACAAAGGATGGAGGTGGGGGGGGCAGGGGAGAAGGAAGTATTCATTCATTCATTCAGTAAATATTTACTGAGCACTTGTACTATGGCAGGCACTGTTTTAGGTGCTGGGGATACAACTGGGAGCCAGACTGATACGATCCCTGCTCCCTTGCAGCACATACTCTACTGGGGAGACAGACAAGAGACAAATTAAATGATGATGTATGGGAATAAGTGGGAAACACTTAATAGCTGAGTTAAAAAAAATGATACCAAAGACTAGTTTAGAATGGGGAGCCAGGAAACCCTTTCCAAGTTCATAACATTTTGGCTGCAGCCTAAAGAATGAGCCATGAAAAGACCAAAGGGAAGAGCTTTTCAGGTGGAAGAAAGCATGGCGGAGCCTGCGAGGCAGGAACTGTTTTATTCATGAGTGTATCTCAAGTGTTTGGTACGTTGTGGGTTTTCAGTAATGAATTAAAGATGAAACAGTATGTTTATGTGTGATCCAGTTTGTATTTAAGAATGAACTAGAAAAAAAAATGAACTAGAGAGAGAGGGTAATAGCTCAGTGGTAGAGTGCATGCTTAGTATGCAGAGGTACTGAATTAAATCCCCAGTACCTCCATTAAAGAAATAAATAAATAAACTAGAGAGTAAATCCGAGAAATGACAGATGCAGGGTAATCAGTAAAGAGGATGTTGGCATGGTTGAAGAAATGGCTGGTTGACTGTTTTGTTGTTTGGGTCATGGGTTGGTTGACTGGTTCATTGATTAGTTGGTTAATGGGTTGATTGGTTGGTTGGTTGACTAGTGGTGGGTTGGTCAACTGGTTAGTTGATTGGTTGGTTAGATGGTTAATCTGTTGGTTTGTTGGTTAGTTGGCTAATCTGTTGGTTTGTTGACTGCTTTGATGGTTTCTTGATTGGTTGGTTGACTAATTGGCTGATTGGTGGTTTTACGCAGTGAATGAGATGAATGAGGTAGTCATGAGTTGAGACCTGGTTGGGTGGAGGACTAGGATCTCAAGAAACTTTATGTCTCTCTCCAATCCTCTAGGTGACGGCTTCTCTGACTGGATGACCGAGCGGGTCGACTTTACAGCCCTTCTCCCTCTGGAGCCCCCCTTGCCCTCAGGTGCCCTCCCCTCATCTTCCCCTCCCCCACCCGATCTGGAAGCTATGGCCTCCCTCCTCAAGAAGGAACTTGAGCAGATGGAAGACTTCTTCCTTGATGCTCCCCTCCTCCCACCCGCCTCCCCACCTCCGCCACCTCCACAGCCACCAGCACCAGCACCAGCACCCTCCCTCCCGCTGCCCCTCCCCCTCCCAACCTTTGACCTCCCCCAGCCTCCTGCCCTGGATACCCTCGACTTGCTAGCCATCTACTGCCGCAGCGAGGCCGGGCCAGGGGACTCGGGGTTGGCGCCCCTGCCCCCACCCCAGCAACCCCCTCCTCCACCTCCACCC